CATCAGAGCCTTTTCCCAACTATTTGGGGTCAGCTATGCTAGGAAAATTACATATAATGCATTTTGATGGAGTATCATATGAGGAAACTGATCAGCAATAAGGTATTCCTATAATTTAATATATTCAATAATTAAAGCCCAACAACAAGAGTATCATATGGAGCAATGTAAATAATAGCATTAGAGGGAAAACTCCAACCTTTATATCGCTCGTGGGATCTGCATGCTGTACAACAAATCAGATCCACCAGTCCTGTCAACCAACCTAATCAAAGAAAAACAAAAACGAAGGGAAAATACTAAAAAAGAATAGAATCTATGACAATAATATAAAATTTGACTCATAAGATTTATCCTGAGGCTCCCTTTTTATATCACATGGTATACAATTCAATAATAAAGTTAAGTCTTCTAACACAAGTATCATGGTTAATGAGCACTTTCCGCTTAAATTGATATCACAAAAGATTACAAATGGACAGCACATGAGCAACAATCATAAGAATTAACATCAGCAGGATTTGTGGCCAAGAAACACAAAATAATCATAAATGAACAGAATTTAAGAATCGAACAGGTTAAACAAACAACCAAATAGATATATAGCTAACAAAGAACCAAAAAAAACCACCTAGAAGCATTAAGAGTACTCACCATCATGGTGATGCATAATGCACTTCTTTCATATGTTTTGTTTATCAGGACATAAAACATTTGCTCAAAATCAAAGTCCTTAAATAAGCTTGCAAACAAGGGACAGTGAACTCAGACAGCATTAAACCTCAATTCAAGCAGATGGCCTCTCTATGTGCTACATAGCACATGCTATTACTTTAGCTGCAAGAGTTTGGCTTGCAGATGTCGTTATAATTTCCAAAAATAGGCCACTCTACCAAATGAGGTCAATTTCATGAGAGCAACTCAAGAGATTGCAATCTCTCCTCATAATCAAGCCCATTGTCCAAAAGCAAAGTAGCACTTCTGGAATATTAGGTATTACACAACTTATCTCAAAAGGCCAGGGAAATAAATCCACTTTCCTAAGAAAAATCATTCTACATGACACTTCAGCTAACGAACATAAAAAACATTCGTATTTGCCCAACCACAAACATACAGGGAAACAGATAACACAAGTTGATTTAAAAAAGCCCGAAAATTAATGTAGCTGTATTTTGGAGAAAGTAATGTGGCTGCATTTGCCCAACCACAAACATACACGGAAAAAGATCGAAAATTAAATCCGTATCTCCTCTTGGGCTTGATTTACAGCTACATCACTTTCTCCATAGTTGCTGAATTTTGCTTGCTTTAAGAACAAAAGAAGGCCGGATTTAATTTTTGGGCTCCTTTTGCATCAATCTCTTCATACATGGCTTCGGTGCATCGCATGGACAAACTACCAACAGCCCAAGTAAACCACATATTAACCAAGATCAACAACAACAATCCTTGTAACCAAAACAAGTCAAACAAGCACCAAAAGCACAGTTGCTTGTAGGGATTACAAGCACTAAAAGTATGATAAGTAACAAATGAAGATGAAGATGGCACCATGATCCTCTCAAGTGATATAATAAGAAGAATCACATTTTCTGATGCTGTAAACTGGGAATATCATGCAAGTATGTACTGAGTGATGAATAATTTGATATAAATACCAAATAAATGGCTAGAATACAGGAATAAGCAAAAGAATAAAACAAAGAAAGACTTTCCATCTATAGACTAGAGTGAAGGTAGTTTACCAGAATCACATAAAGTTACAATCATGATGCATTTTTATGAAGAAAAGAAGAAGTTGACCTTTGATTCCAATCTCCAGTCCTCCGGATGCCTCCAACAAATCACTTGCCTTGAATTATTTACTGGATAGATCACATTTTGAGGCCACGGAGCACATTTAGAGTGTACCGCTATTGTGCACCTCATACACCGCCAATAACCTTTTTGTTTGCAAATAAAGCATGCCTGTTCAGAGAACTACCCAATGCATGAGCTCATTTTGAAACTTATATAGATCACGGTATATTGTTTACCGAGGATGAACGCACAAACCCATTAAAAGCACAAATTGAATTAAGTAAATTATCTAAAGAACTATGGAGACAATCATAAGAGCCAAAGAACAACAACAAAAATGTATCAGCAAACACATGCATATGTACTACAAATCAAACAGAGATGGATTTCAAATCGCACAGCAGGTACATGTATGACATTGCCTCATTTAATCTCCACATTCTTTTAAAGATATGGCACCCTGGCCAAGTTCAGCATCACAATTTTTTTAAAAAAAGTCCTTTAATGCATGTAAAAGTTAAATATTTGTGACCGTATCGTCAATTGACATTAACTCTGGGAGGTTAGAAATAGTAACAAATGTCTTCTAGAGAAATTGTGACTTTAAGTTTCACCTTACAGCCAATCAAACATCCAAAACGAACCGTAAATGTTTATGATGATACTGCAGTGTAAATAATCAAACAATAAAGAGAAACCTTCAGTGATGGAAACAGCAATAGAACCAAGAACTAGCACACTTACTTTACCTTGTATAACCTAGATCATCTAAATAGATATTATATTGCCATCGACATATTCTGTTTAACAAAGCTTGACACAAATGCCTAAGACATAAAAAATAACAATAATAAAGTACTGACATGTTGAGGGCACTTAAAGTCCTTGCACTTATGATTCCCATATCTTTGTTTCACACAAACCAAGTGAAAGACTTGCTGACAACCTCGAACAGAGCATAGCAGCTCTTTCCCAGCAACAATTTGTGTACAACATATCCGACATTCCACCTAAGAGATGAATAGACGTGAAACCATTCAATAAGCATGGATTATTTAATGAGATATGATGGAACAAAATTGCAAGAGAAAATTGAAAATCTTAGGCAGTACCATAACCATTCCAAGAAAACCATGAAATCAGCATTTCGTCTTCATACAATGGAATTGAGAATGCAACAAGTAAATGAGCATGTAACCATTTATAGCATCTTCCCATAAAATATCGACATCCATAGTTGGAAAACAGGATCAGTGTATCAGTGGATGTTGAAACCATTATAATGAGCATGCTAACTGTGTGAAGTATTATTTTTCAGAAAATTAGCCATTCAAAGCACAATTAACTTGTGAAACGTGCAAGTGCAACTCAGAGTAGCTTAAAAAATCAAATTTCATCTCAAATCACCACAATTTGTCTGTTCAGCAGCAAAAAATGCTATGATTTCTTATGTCAACATTTCGAGAAAAAAAAAGAAATCCCATGACCTTTAAACATCCGTGATTTTGTGAAATATGTAGCCCAATGACCTGAATCCATTTCAATGAACCTTTTTCAGTTTAATTCAATATTAACATGCTCCAACTGTTAGCTACATTAGGGCCAGTGCTAGTCTAGCGTCCAGCACTAGATTGTCTAGTTGAGCAGCACAGAAGGCAAAGTTTGCCTGGATATCATTTCCAGCCAACAGTCGATACAAGCATGTAGGCCGCCCTGTATGTACGCCATAAATCTAGATCAAGATTAGTTAAGAATATTAACTTCTACTATGTTGTTTACGATTTAGGTATGGCTATTGAGCAACTTGTTTGAGGGTGACAAAGAAAAACAACCCAGAAAACCTTTTGGAAACCGATGAGGTTTAGAATTCTAAGTTTGAGGAAAATGATGACGAACACATTTTCCTCTTTTGGTTATATTTACTCCCAGTTCTCATGTATCACAGGTGTTTCCCCATTCCTGTCACCTGCTTCCCTCAACTTCCAGGGTATTTAGGGCCACGAATCTCTTACCCAAGCAATTCGCAACCAATTTGTCATTGTATTTCACCATGGATTCTCTAACTATTTCCTCTATACCAATTTTGTATACCTATTTATTCATTTAACACCCAACTTTTTCACAGGTATTGACACTTAGTTTTCTCCACTTGTTTCTAGAATGGTTGCATGAACCCCTTTCCCTTTCTAAGAACTATAATATTGATCATGGTTTTGGACTCTCAAACTATGGTACATTTTATCGTGCATAGTTACATTGCATGCTCTAAATCAGCTCAAGAAACTCCCAAGTACCTTTCAATCTACATAACGTCTATACCATCCATTAACATTTTAAGAATATCTCAGCTACATTGTTTTAGATTTAGTTCAGATGGAACTACCAGCATCCTAGAAGTGAATAGCATCCAGGTAAGTCACATCAGCGTACCCAGTGTATCAGTCCCTATCTTTCGCCTAAGATTTTGGAGTAAACAACCACGTAACTAACGTATGAAACACATAAATTGTAGAAAAGTCCCTTCAGACAAAATCTTATGGTTGAGCTTGAAGCAATTTCAAAATTCAATCAACAAAGACAGTCGATCAAATGCATTTTATCCAAAATGTCACAGAAGTTTTCCCAAATCTCTCTCTGTTTGTGAAACTAACCCAATCTTTTGATACAAGAATATACCTGGGCAACTTAGAGATCCTATGTCACTTCATCAAGTCAAGTTTAAACATCAAGTGCATTTCATACAAGGCATCACAGAAATTTTCCCATATCTGCTAACAAATAACATGACAGGTCCATGTACCAAACCACTCTGAATCGACTACGAGACACAAGTCTTCTTCCAAAAACGATACAAAACAATGGGGACCATGGGGCAAAATCTTGCTGGAGTTTAAATTCAACAACCTTTAATATGAAGCTAGAGAAAGTGAAAGAACACCCCAAGTCACCTACGTACCTCTAATCTCAATCCCTAGCTATCTAACCCATGTATAATACCTAATCTTTTGGATAAGGATAAAAACGTAACTCCAATACTCACCCAAACACAAACATAGATAATTATCCCACACACCTAGACTTTCTAAATGATAAAGATTTGATTACCCAAATATAAATTGTGTACTTCCTATAACAAATAAAACTAAAAAAATCTATCCAATAGCAAAATTCTCCAAAACACCCCCTACAAGATGCTTTAGTTTTTAACACTCCCCAATTAATGCATGCTTGTAGGCCATAAACCCAACTGCTCCACTAAAGAACTTAAATAAAAAATTTGGTTTTTGTTATACTCTTGGTGAAGAAGACCAAAACTGTAAGCACCAATTCAAATGGTTTCCAACTCAATCACCTTCCAAAACCTTTTGGCAAATAAAGTGCTGTTGGACTTCAATATGCTTCATTCGACCATGAAAAAGGGGATGGTATTACAAGTTGATTGTACTTTGGTTCTCACATTTGATCGACACCAAATAATTAAACTTATTGTGTCACCTACTAAACGCCTCAGCCAAATGCAGCTACATACACTGCCTAGTGCTAACCATGGTTGCAGCCACATACTCTGCCTCAGTGCTAGAGAGAGCTACACATGGTTGCTTTTACTGCTGCATGAAACTGCTACCTTAATTTGCATTCAAGCAATACCCAAAAATAGCTACCGATCATTGATGTCGCTTGCCCATTAAAACCAACTAGAGAAAACTTCTCACCCATCTTATACATCAAACCATACTCAAGACTAATTATTCACATAATAAAGAATTTGCTTTAGCTGCAACAAGATGAGGAACTCAAGGGACTCTGCATAAACTGCGACCGCCCCAAGAGAATAAGCAATATCAGGTCTAGTAATAGTTACGTGATATAAACAATCCATTACTTATCAATATCCTTTCTAATTATTGAAGGGCTTCCCTACATCCTTTAACAACTTAAGATTGGGCTCGACAGGGGTAGCCATTGACTTGCACTCCCTCGTACGCAAACGATCAAACAACTTTCTAGCATCTCTTTTGAGATAAAAACATACCATCTTTAACCTTCTAAACATCAAACCTAAGAAAGCAACTAGCCTCAACTAAATTCTTCATCTCAAACTAGATTGACAATCGTCTCGTAAACGTGAAATTTCAATCACAGTAGCACCAATAATGATCATGTCATCCAAATATAACAACAAAATAACGTGCTTTTGACTATGCTCTGATGAACATGCAAGAGTTAAAAAGTGGAAACCTTAGAACCAAAAAAAATTCGATACTCAAAACTCTTATCATACCAAGCTCAAGGAGCTTGCTTGAGGCCATAAAATACCTTCTTTAGTCCACACATGTGACAAGAATAATCTGTAAACATGGAACCTCTGACTTGTCTATGTACAACCCTTGATCAACCTCACCGTAAGGGAATGTATTCTTTGCATCGAGTTACCAATTTCCAGCCTTGCTTACTGTTGTTATCCTTGCAACAAAGGATGAATGTCTCCTCATTATCCAATCCATACTATAGGCTAATACCAAGAGCAACCAATCAAGCCTTGCGTTGTTCGTTCAAATCATCAAGCTTCTTCTTCAACTTGAAGACCCACTTGCAAGTCATCAGTTTTGCATCAATGAATTTTGGCACCAATTCCCATATTTCATTCTTCATGAAGGTTGTTAGTTCCTCTTTCGTAGCAGCCTCCCATTCTAGAACCCCTTTACCATCATTAATATTGACCCTGATAATTAACTTTTATTAGACCCTTATCAATGGTCTAATGAAGGTAAGGACATTAAACTTTCCCTTAACTCATCCCAAGCACGGTTAAAGGAGGTGGGTTGCATAAAATAGGCAACCAACGTAAAATTTTGCTACATCTTATCATGAATCCAACACCTATGTTGTCTTACTGAAGGTATGGCCCTTGACAAAGAAGAACAGAGGAACAAGATTCATGTAGCCGATCCCACATAATTGGGATAAGGCTTGGATGATGATAATGAGGATGATGAGAGAAAAATTAAGTTTTGGGATTAGTTGGATTTTTAGTTTTCTTTTGTGATACTTGTGTCTTTTTTCATTGTAGAGAATTAAGGGGTATAATTAGAGGGTTGTGATTTAATGGTGTTTAGGGTTTCTTAAGGAGCAAGTAAGCTTTTAGGGTTTCCTCCATAAACATGTAAGAGTGGATTAAAAAAACGAAAATAAAGAAGAGAACAAGAGTTTATTTTGGGTCTTGTGAAAAGATATTTTAGAGTGAATTCCCTTGCAGACCTTGAAAGACGTATATTCTCTCACCCTCTATGTTTGTCTTTTATTTTTCTAGTTTGTTTATTTTCTTCCAATATTGTTCTCTGCATCAATTGGTATCAAAGCTTCAAACGATCCATTAATGACAAAGACATCAAAACCCACTCTAGTAATCGAGGATATATTCCCATCAATCATGGATGGTGTGAAACAACAAATCAAAGATGGCATCAATGGTATTCGAGTTGAGATCTACGAACTTTGAGGAGATTAGTGAAACAACAATATCATCAGATTCGCTTCGAGTCTTCTTTGGTTTGGTGAGAAAAAATGAAGCAATTCGGTGCTTTGGCCGATTCAAGGGAAGACTTCAGACTTTTTTTATTTAATATAAATAAATTAGATATTTACATATAAAAATAAAAAAAATCAAAAAATAAAATAAATAGAGAAAAATACTTTTATATAGATATTTCTATGTTTCGGCCGAATCAGCCCGACGCCAACTGAAGCCGACCAAAGTGGCAATACCAGGTTTTGCTTTACTTCGGTCTAGTCCTAAAATCCAAAGACTTCGGCCTCTTTGACCGAAGAGAAGCAAATTGGACAACACTGGATATTAATCAGAGGTTGCAATAATTAGAAAATATCAAACACCAACAAGAGTTCACTCGTAATCCCATAGATCTGGCACCGAATCTCACCTGAGGGATGAATCGAGCAACACGATTGACTCGGCATGCCAATCCCATATGTAATGAGCAAATTTTGAGGC